CACCTGAGCTGTGGATCTCTGCAGCTCCTGCAGAGTTACTATGGTCCTTTTGGCTGCTTCTCTGATTAATGCTCTCCTTGCCCGGCCTGTCAGTTTAGGTGGACGGCCATGTCAGTAGGTTTGCAGTTGTGCCGTACTCTTTCCATTTTTAGATGATGGATTTAACAGTGCTCTGTGAGATGTTCAAAGCTTGGGATATTTTTTTATAACCTAACCTGCTTTAAACTTCTCCACAACTTTATCCCTGACCTGTCTGGTGTGTTCCTTGGCCTTCATGATGCTGTTTGTTCACTAATGTTCTCTAACAAACCTCTGAGGGCTTCACAGAACAGCTGTATTTATATGGAGATTAAATTACACACAAGGGGACTCTATTTACTAATTAGGTGACTTCTGAAGGCAATTAGTTCTACAAGATTTTAGTTAGGGGTATCAGAGTAAAGGGGACTGAATACAAATGCACGCCACACTTTTCAGATATTTATTTGTAAAAAAGCATTTATCATTTTCCTTCCACTTCACAATTATATGCCACTTTGTGTTGGTCCATCACATAAAATCCCAATAAAATACATTTATGTTTCTGGTTGTAACATGACAAAATGTGGAAAATTTCAAGGGGTATGAATATTTTCACAAGGCACTGTACATATATTACAACTTAACATTTTCCCTTGTTCGAACAGAATATATCAATACTGATGTGTATTTAGACCATATATGTTTATTTCTTATATAGTTTCTCAGATACATTAGTGTTTTTTCCTGTATTTTCCTGGAAATATTTTACTGGTTTCCTTCTATTTTGTGCTAGTTCAGGAAAGGTTAAAGAAGTGCACTTAGGATGAACTTTGCTGGCTTCATTGTATACTCTCACCATCACTCCTGACTGATATACCATTGTTTTGTATGTTTCCTGTTTACATAGTGGATAATGTGAAGTCAGCACAGGAGGTGTTAAATTAGGTAGCTGTTGGGGGGGGTTTACCTCCTTATATACTTGGGAGAAAATATACGGAATCATTAAAGTCCAACATGACCGCAGCCAGACTCTTTTCTGTTTTTGTACTGGTGCTGAGTATCCCTCATTATGGTGAGTAAAACATATTAATAATATTTGCATAAACAGTGCTTAAATGAATACTAGTCATAGGTATTCTACCATGCAGTATGTGTATAAAGAAGAGGAAATATGAACTTACCAATAAGCTGTGTGATGTATTATATCTTTTATAGAATAGATTTTTTTGCCTGCATGGTTTATTACTTTTCAGGCAACAACTATATGTTCATTCTTCTATATGATTATTATTATTATTATTATCATTATTATTATTTTGTTGTATTATTTTTGCTGTCGTTGTTTGTTATTATTATATTGTATTGCTATTATTTAATATTGTCATCGCCTGCAGAAGTAGCAAAAAATGTGAAAAAAGTGTCATCCTTTATCAGCTATTGTCGCATTTAGGTTCATGCAGATTAACAATTTGAATATGTCTTATCTCCTATTGTGCGACATATGCTGACCAGTCTCTGTTGTATACAGTGCCAAAGGAGATTGCTTTACTCATTCTTTGCTGGGTTAGTGAGATTTACTAAAACTGGAGCACTCGAAATTTGGTGCAGCTCTGCATGTTAGCCAATCAGCTTCTAACTTCAGCTTGTTCAATTCAGCTTTGACAATAAAACCTGGAAGCTGATTGGTCTCTGTGCAGACCTAAACCATATTTTGCACCATGTAGTTCAGTAAATAACTCCCAGTGTGTTTTAATGGACACAAAGAAGCACTTTTTTTATAGGTAAAGTTGATCCAGGGAATATCCGATTGCCTCTTGGGGGATCAGGAAGGAATTTATTTTCCCAGCAGGAGCAAATTGGATCATGCTTTGCTGGGGTTTTTTTTGCCTTCCTCTGGATCAACTGTGGGTATAGGATTATAACTTCTATGTGGTGTCTTTCCATCAAATTGTGACAGTGTGCTAATAGAGACCATGCTTTCATTGACAAACATTTTGACCCATCGGGTTCTCCACCATCTCCACACACAAGCCTTTACATTACTGCAGCAGGCATGATACATTGTTAAATATCAAAAAAGTGTACAGTTATGCAGAAAATAACAAAATAATACAAATGTTAAAAAGGATACACATAGAAAGGTTTTTGGACAGACAGGGCAACAGTCACTTGTCTGTGCTGAGCCCCCTCCAAAAAATGTGTACAAGGAAAAGCAGCAATAATTGTAAAAAAGAAAAAACAAATACTAATCTCTTTCAACGTGTGATTACAACCTACATGTGGTTCCATTGGATTTGCCAGCTGACTTTACGGACTTCCCTTCAATAAGAATGAGCTCCACTGCCCCAGACTGTATTACTCTATATCAGTCTTTCTCAACCTTTTTCTTTTTTATTCCTTATTTTGAAGAAAGAGCATGACACAATATTCCAACAAATACACAGCTGAAAGGAATGTAGAAGAAGCATTATACACCGTAAGATACATAAACAAGTAACCTTACAAAACAATGTGCTGAGTGCTGGTGTAATTAGTACAGCAAATAAGAAGCCAGCAGATCCATTTATCTAAATCCTGAAAACATATCTCCTAAACTCCTCCTTTATTTTCATGTTTGTCATTGGAGGAGGAAACAACAATCAACCTCAGAGGGGAAAGTTCAATGTAGGGAGTGAGTAGACAACAGAAGAGATTAGAGACTAGGAAGGGGGAAGGTGTGAGAAGGGATAAGCAGAGGAAGGGAGTGAGAACAGTAGGTAGGCAGGTAGATAAGTGGGGGAGAAAAGAAGAAAAAAAAGGGGGGGAGTAAGAAAAACCCATCTATGCTCCTGGCCTTACACCTGTAGCAATCCCACTGTCCCACTAGAGAGCATGCGGGGTATTGCGATCATTCTCCTCTTGTTATGGTTGGGAGGCCAGCATAGTCTGGTCTTTGTAAAAGAAGTATGGGGTCCCGATTCTACAATACTTTGCTTCTTGCTCCTTAACCACTTACCCTCCATAGGATTTACCCCTCTTCCTGACCAGGCTATTTTTTGCAATACGGCACTGTGGTACTTTAACTGACAATTGCGCAGTCATGCAACACTGCACCCAAATGAAATTTATGTTCTTTTTTCCCACAAATGGAGCTTTTGTTTGGTGGTATTTGATTGCCTGTGCATTTTTTATTTTTTGTGCTATAAACAAAAAAAAGACCAACAATTTTGAGAAAAAAAACAATATTTTTGACTTTTTGCTATTAAACATGACCAGTAAACAAATTTAAAAAATCTAATTTCCTCATAAGTTTAGGCCAAACTGTGTTCTGCTACATGTCTTTGCTAAAAAAAAAAATCCCAATATGTTTAAATTAATTGGTTTACCTGAAAGTTATAGCGTGTACAAATGGTGGTATATATACTGGAATTTTTTTTTTGTACACTAGTAATGGTGGCAATCAGCAACTTATAGCAGGACTGCGGCAGGCATTCTGACACTGGGGGGACTGACTAACTGTCACTGACATTCCCAGTGACACTAATACAGTGATCAGTGCTAATAAAAAGCACTGACACTGTACTAATGGCACTGGGCAGGAAGGGGTTAACATTTGGGGCGATCAAAGGGTTAACTGTGTGCTGTGTGTGTGTGTTTCACTGTGCCAGCACATTGCTTTGTATTGCTCTGCTATGCACCCCCTGCACCCACCTAGGGACGCCACTGTTTTTGGTATTTTATACAGTACACATTTTTGCAAAAATAGACAAAGTCATTCACAATGACTGAAGTCCGATGTCATTCTGCACCTCCCTACTCGAAAGGGATTTAGCTTTGCAGGGAGGTCAGCTGCATTAACTGAATAAAACAAAAAGACATCAATTCAACAGGTAGGTTGCGCTTTCTGAGTCAAGGAAATCCAACATTTTTATGTTAGAATATTGGGAGTGTATCTTTAATTATTATATAAAATGTAGGCTGGCCATATGCTGATAAATTTTCTTGCTTCAGCCTACAGGCTGAAAAAAATCTAACAATTTCCCTGTCCACTCTATACAGTGCAGATGGATGAATCTCCCTACTGAGAAATTGTATTCTGACAACTGCTGGCAGCAGTTGTCAGAACGCTTGAACAGCAGCTGCATCTCACTGGATGCAGCCATTGTTTGACGGACAGTTTTCCAGCTGGCTCCATAGATTTTGAAATCCAAAGATGTCTGGCAGGAGGAGACCATCAAAGCCACCCACAAAGTGAATTTCAGCTGGTTCATCAGGAAGCGGACAAATTTTGCAAGGTGTATAGGCCAGCTTTAGTTACTGACTTAAAGCGGTAATAAATCCCAAACACAAAATGTAATTTATTGCAGCTTACCAGTTATTAGATGTGGTGGCTGCGTAGGTTTTCTTTTTTTAGGTTTTTTTCCCTCTGTTTTCACCTGGTGATTTGGCCAGTAACACACCTCTGGTATTAGTAGGACACAACACTGGAGGAAAGAGCCAGGACATAGCAGACATCAGTCTGGGGGAGAGGGGAGTGGTAAATGTTTTTAGCAGATTTAAGAACAGTAACTAATTGAAGCCAAATTCCAGCTCACACTTTGTAATCAGTTACAGCAAACATTTTCTTCCTTTTGCAATAAAGGTTTTAATACAAGTTAATCATTTTACCCCCCCCCCCCCCATCACTGTTAAATGATGGTTTCTCCCATTCATGTAGACTGATACATTCTGCTGGAGAGCTTGTTCTTTTGAAAAACAACAGACTTCCTAGCCAGATCACAAGGTGAAAATAAAAGAAAGAAAGCCTAAAAAATAAAGTCACATCTAAGAATTAGTAAGCTGCAATACAATTAATGTTTGCTTTTGGGTTTAATACTGCTTTGAAGAATCACTTTCCAAGGATTCAATCTCTGACTAATTCCTCTATATTTCTTTTAGATTGCAGACCACGGGGTCGGATCTTAGGAGGGTCAGAGTCCGCTCTACACAGCAGACCATACATGGTATCATTGCACGTGGATGGCAGTCATTTATGTGGTGGTGCCTTACTCAGTCCACAATGGGTGATCAGTGCAGCACACTGTGTTCCCCTGACAAGTAGGTTGACATTGACATCTATCTATCTATCTATCTATCTATCTATCTATCATCCATCTCTATCTATCTATCTATCTATCTATCTATCTATCTATCTATCTATCTATCTATCTATCTATCTATCCATCTATCTATCTTTCTGTCATTCCACCAGGATCTATCCATCTGATATAATAGCACCTATAAATGTCACAGAACATTAGAATATTTATTTCATACTATTTATAACAATTACAACAAATTTAGTATTGAAAGGCAAACAGTGAAATATTGATTTTCTGTAACTAGATATTGACTACCAGTTTGTAAAGTGGGCACATTCTACTCACCACCAATGTATAAAGGGGGAACTTTGTATTGACCACCAATATATAAAATGAGGCATATTCCACTGACTGCTAATAAACCAAATGGGAATTTGTATTCACTAACTGCCAGCTTTCTTTAAAGGTTATTTTCACTATAATTTATTGTTCGTGTGAGCAGGACCACAGGCTCTGGACAAATGACTCTGTGTGCAACCTCCCTCTCATGCTGAAGTGGGCACAAACAGATGACAGTTCTTAAAGCACTAAAAACTCTGACCCACAATTTGCATTTGAATTAGAGCTGTGAAGTTCCTGTGATGTTAACTACTTTGAGTTTTTTAATTTCATTGCCCTGAAACCAGCATTAGCAATATTTGGCCAAGGATGCATGAAAGAACTTGTAGCCCGGGTTCACTCCAATGTGGTGTGGGAAACACTGCAAATCCTATGTGTTTCCCGCACCACATTGCAATCACATCACGTTCATGCAATCTGGTGAGAGTGTCAGTGATAAATTAATGATCCCTGAAACAGATTGCAAAAAACGCAATGCAATTGCCAGAAATTGCATCGCATGAGTGAGAACACCCATGGAATGTGATTCAGGTGTGGATTTAAAAAAAGATCCTGCTCCTTTTTGGTGCGTATGCGATGCAATTTGAGCCATACAATTGTAATGTAATTTGCACAGGACTGCAGTGCGACTCCTGTGCGAATTACATGTGTCCCGCACTGCATACTGTGAACATGGGCTGAAGCTCAAACACAGCTCCCCACAGTATACAGTGCCTTGAAAAAGTATTTATACCCCTTGAAATTTCCACATTTTGTCATGTTACAACCAAAAACCGAAATGTATTTTATTGGGATTTTATGTGATAGACCAACACAAAGTGGCACATAATTGTGAAGTGGAAGAAAAATGATAAATGGTTTTCAAAATTTTTTACAAATCAATATCTGAAAATTATGTGCCACTTTGTGTTGGTCGCATAAAATTCAAGGGGTATGAATACTTTTTCAAGGCACTGTATAGTATGCTTATATACAGGGAAGAACAGATGAAATCTTCTTTAACAAGGCATTTTGGCAATAACATTTTCTGTGATCATTTTTTTAAACTCATTTTAATACCTTTTTTGGAAGAAAAGGTTCAAAGAGTCCTAATTCTCACCAGCTTTGGCTAGTTACCAGAATGTATAAGATACAATTATTATTCTGTTATTGTCAGGTTCACTGTATAGATAAATAATGATGTGTCCCTTTCTTTGCAGTAACCATACTATGTTGGCTGTACTGGGGATGAACTCTCTGTTGGACCCTGAGAGGTTGGTTGTCAGCATTGAGAAACAGTTCCCTCATCCTCAGTACAACAAAACTACCAAGGAACATGACCTCCTTCTTTTGAAGGTAAGACTCATTTATTCATCATACCTAGTTTTTTCTGGAATTTTTCATATGTGATTGTATTACAAACAAGTGAACAGCCCCATCTTTTGATATCTCCATAGTTTCCTGGACTACATACCCATAGTTGCCAACATTTTAAAAAAAAGTTCCAGGGACATCTCTCTGGGGCAATCATTTGAAGGGATATTTCACCCCTTGTCTGCCCCCCCCCCCCCTTTAACTTTCAGCACTTTTTCTTTTGGAGAGCAGTTACCCACAGCCTTCAGGGACATGTCACAGGTCCCAGAAGGCTTCAGAACCATTCACAAATTACTACAGGACATAAAGGAGGTGAGGGTGTGCATACAGCAGTGAGCTTATACTTATATTGGGGGGTGGGGGGTTAACCCCCCCCAGAAGTCAAAGTTGAGAAAAACACAAAAACGAAGGATAATCAAGGGTGTATTGTCGGTATATGTATATAGAAAAATCAACTGTACAAAATGTAATTCTATAAAAAAAAAAATCGCAAATATTTTTGCAATTTTCTTTTTTGTATAGGATCACGTTTTGTAGAGTTGATTTTTCTATATACATATATTGGCGGGTCACCCTTGGTTACCCTTCGTTTTTGTGTTTTTTCAGAACCATTCACAAAGCACAGCGCAACTCATGCATGCTCAGTGAGCAGCCGGCTGTGAAGTTGCAAGGAGTCGGTTTCCTACGCTAAACATCCTGGTGCTGGGGACCCAAAGACCAGCAAAGAGCTGGCCTGGGTGAGGATGGCACTGGATCCCTGGACAGGTAAGTGTCCATTATTAAAAGTCAGCTGCTACAGCATTTGTGCATGTGATGCGTACAGCCTGACACACAAGTGAATGGTTGTACGTGGCCTGTTCTCTTGTAAACATTCAGAAATTACATTGGGCACCCATGAACAAGTAAACGCTGATGCAATCAAGCTTTGACGTTCACAAGAGCACAGCCAGATACAGCCATTCACTTATATGATAGGTTGCATTCAGTACATGTGGCTCCCTGGTTTGCAGGAATGCATTAGGAAATTACGCTAGGCATATAATATGCGTGGAAAGGCCCATTGTACATAAGTCCTAAGGAAAATAAGGAGAAAGCAAAAAAAGAAGGAACAGTGCTAGGATAAAGGAAGGGGCTATTAAAGGATAAGTTCAACTTTTGTAACATGTTACATGTTACAAACATATTCAGGGTGTAACATGTTATGAACGGACTGGCCTCCACACCCCTCTGATCCCCATTGTGACAGCTAGCAGGGGAACTTCTCCCTCCTGATAGCTGTCACAATTTGAAAAAAACGCAGCTATGTACAGCTCCGCCCACACAGCTGGGTCATTCATCCACAGTGTCCTGTGAATGAATGAACTAAAAGTCCCGACAGCCAAAACAGCTGTCAGCATGTAGTTCTCAATGAACTATCAGGGTGCTGTGGAGCACCCTATTAGTTCATCGATTCTTCCTGTCAGTACTGTATATCTGCTTGCTTGTACATCCTGTATGGGCAAGCAAATATATTGACAGGTCTGCAGGAGACCTGCATGGCACCAGCAATCTGCTGATCGCTGGTGCAATGCTTTCCAGGCTCCTGCAACAAAAAATAAATAAATGCACATTTTTTTACCTGCAAAAAGATGTGCATGTATTATTTTTTTGTTAAAACGTGAACTTATCCTTTAAATACATTGCACATTAATATATCAGAACCACAATGTGTAATATAATGGTAATGTACTGTGCATTGCTTCTGAAAAATACTATGGAAACATTTTACAAGGGACAGACCCGTTTAGCGGATCTGCTTGCTCAGCAGGGGGTGATCTCTCTGCCGATCCCCACTGAACAAGCAGATGACAGTTCTGTGTCTGCTCTGCTGCTGCAGAGAATACACAGAGCTGCTCGCTCTCCTCAATGGGCGATCAGATGAAAACGGATCGGATGTTGGCAGGTGTAAATGGACACATGTCTGTTTACACTCCCATAGAGGAGAATGGAGGTTCTGATTGGGTCCACCTTAAAAACATCCTGATCAGAACGTCCGTGTGAAAGGGGCCTTATTCCTTCTTGCCATGCCACATATGAACAGAAAGCTTTGCAATTTGCAATTTGAAATACTCATTATGGACTGAAACCTTTTTTTTTCAGCTAGCAGTAAATGTCACACTGAGCGATAAAGTGAAGCCCATACAAATCCAATGTGAAGACAAAGTGATACCTGCAGGTAGTCAATGCCTGGTAGCTGGCTGGGGGAAAATAAAGCGCACAGGGAAGAAACCTTACCAGCTGCATGAGGTATCAGTACCTGTGATCAGCAGAGCAGTCTGTAATGGTCGGGGTTACTACCAAGATGAAATCACGGAGAGTATGATGTGTGCAGGGAGTGCAAAACAAGACTCATGTGAGGTAAGAAAAGAATGTGTGCTGGATGATAATGTCATACTTTCTGTATGTGGGAATGTAATGAAAATTGCTGAGAAAATGATGTAGAGGACAAGGAGCATCTCCATCACTACAAATCTCCTTTCAGCAGCAACAGTCCGGCTTAAAGTGGATCTAATCCCTCCTATCCTTTACAGCCAAGGAAGCTGCCATCTCAGCTTCTGTTTAATCTGCAATTGCCATGGTGCTGCACATGATCAGCTATGACACCAGACATTTGATGGTTTGACAGTTCAGCTGAGAGCTGACATAAGCACACTAGTAACTGTGACACTTATCACTCATGACATGCTTTGAATGGAACTTTTTGAAAACCATTAAATCGATGGGTTCCGTTCCATTTTACGGGTTGTAAACATACTGACCGTTCTGCTGAAAGTTGCTATTTGTTTGCTACAATGAACGTACTGATATAATCAGTGTTCCTACTGTCAAACACCTTGGAAGACCGCTAAAGGCCACCTACCTTTGGTATAGCTGAGGAGGGCACATAAAAGACAACTTAAAGTGACACTAAACTCTGGTTTCAAAAATATATTCTATAGGAGTGTGTATTCTTAACTCCAAAACATATCTTATATTGCTCTTAGCCTCCTCCAACTCTTTGAATTCCTTTTTTCTGCTGTGATCCATCTTCCTGTTAGAGGGTTGCTACATTCATTTACAATGGATCGTCCCACTGTATTTAGGAGCTTACAGTAGCCATCTAATCTTGCCACTCTAAAAATGGACTAGCGGTATGGACTACAGTATTTGTAGTGTATGTAGAGTGCTTCACATGACTGCAATTAACATACATTGCTTATTCCAAGCAAATGTAAGTGAGGGGAAAAAAGAGAGGTTCAGAGCTCACAGAAGATGTTGCAAGGAGAAAGAAAAACACTGGAAGAAATAGTGAAAAATGGATCACAGGGCCATTAAATAGTGTAGGGAATAACTAAAAAAAGAAAAGAAAACTGCTTCTAGAACTGCTTTAACCACCTCCTGTCCACCATATAAGGAAATGATGGGCGGGTGGCGGTTCTCTCATTCTGGGAGAAGTCATATGACATCCTCCACTCTATGATGATCAGTGGTGCGCTGTGTCCCTGGGACACAGCAGATCGCCAATCAGAGTAAAGTCATGTGATCAGGTGTGTTGAATCACAGCTGATCACATGTAAATAGGAAATGCCGGTTATCGGCAGTCCTCTCCTCATGTTGACAGCACATGAGGAGAGGAGAGCTGGTAATCAGCGTTCCTCAGAGGGGACATTTACACTGATCATCAGTGCCCTGATGATCAGTTTAGCCCCATTAGTGCCACCTGTTTTTGCCCATCAATGCCACCTGTCAGTGCCCATCAATGCCACATACCCAGTGCCCATCAGTGCACATCGATGTCACATATCAGTGCCTACCAGTGCACATCAATGCCACATATCAGTGCCCATCAGAGTTGCCTTTCAGTTACAACTATCAGTGCCAGTCGGTGTCACCTATCAGTGCCACCTATCAGTGCCGCCTATCAGTGCCAGTCAGTGCCGCCTATCAGTGCCCATCAGTGCCCATCAGTGCCACCTAACAGTTCCAATCAGTTCCAATCAGTGCCGCCAGACAGTTCCAATCAGTGCTGCCTATCAGTGCCATATATGAGTGCTGCCTTTCAGTGCCCATCAGCAATGCCTGTCAATGCACTCAAGTGATGCTTGTCAATGCCCATCAGTGCCACCTATCAGTGCCCATTAGTGCAGCCTATCAGTGCCCATCAGTGCAGCCTCATTAGCGTACATTAGCGAAGGAGAAAAATTACTTATTTACAAAATTATATAACAGAAACTAAGCAAAAAATTTTTTTTTTTCAAAATGTTCAGTCTTTTTTAGTTTGTTTAGCAAAAAAAAAAAAGTTGGTGATTAAATACCACCAAAATAAAGCTCTATCTGTCTCAAAAAATTATAAAAATTTGTTTGGGTACCTTGTTGCATGACCGCGCAATTATCATTCAAAGTGCGACAGCGCTGAAATCTGAAAATTGGCCTGGGCAGGAAGGGGGTAAAAGTGCCCAGTAGGCAAGTGGTTAAAAGTGTTTGCTGGAAAAAAACCCAAAAAGAGTTAAAATAGCTCAAAACACATATGATATTAAATACCCTTCTGTGTATAGTACTAGGAGCACTATCTCACCGCTGTTGCCCTAAAGCCGCTCCAATTGCTGGGTGTTCCAGGCGGGACGTGGCATCACCGAATGTAGAGACCGATAGTCCATCCTCTACGAGTTTCATCAGTGTGACCTCATTGGGAAGCAGTCAATTTGATGCCTTTCTAATTTGGTGGACACAACACACAGGCCAGGCAGCCATTTTAATTGCAGGTTTACATACTGTGCTGCAGTGCATTCTTTTTTGTTTTATAAAAACATTTTAAATACCTTTTTTTTTTTTATTTTTTCCTGTTTTATAAATGATCACATTCCCTCTAAGCTTCTTATGCAGCTGAGAACAGAGAGCTGGGGGAGGAGAAACAGCAGCACACTGAATTTCCCAATGAATGGCTGTGCAGGGGGGGCTTCTGATCATTGGAGGAGAACACACTGAATTCCCAAAACAGCTAAAAAACTGACCATACTTTGCTGGCATGCCTAGTGTTGTCAATTTTTAATATTAAAGCAGAGGGACTGGCAGGAACACCAGGGGTTTTACACAAAGGAAGCAATGCAAACAGAACAGGATACTTTTTCATACAAGTACATGGTGCAGCAGGAACCTATCAGGAATATAAAATGTTAGGTTTACTAAGGCCCCATGTACATGGGACACTTCTGAACAATGTATTTATTTCAGGGAGCCATCAATTTGCACAGCACTTTACATATATTGTACATTCACATCAGTCTCTAACCCTCAAGGGGCGTACAATCTAAGGTCCCTAACTCACATCCATACATACACATACTAGGGACAATTTAAACAGGATCCAATTAACCTACCAGCATGTTTTTGGAGTGTGGGAGGAAACTGGAGTACCCAGAGGAAACCCATGCAGGCACAGGGAGAACATGCAAACTCCAGGCAGGTGGAGGCATGGCTGGGATTTGAACCAACAACCCTAGTACTGCCAGGTGGAAGGGCTAACCATTTAGTCCGCTGTGCTGCCCGACAATGGATGTGTCTACCCAGCTTGACTCTACCATATCTCCAGATTGATAATGCTGCTGCCCAATGGTGTCTTTGTTGCTCTCCATCCAGAATGGAGATATGCTTAGAAAGGAAGTGTGTTACAGGCAGGATCAGCAGATGAAAATAAAGGGAAAAAAGTCTAACAAAAAAGAAAACTAATGCAGCCGCCAGATTAGTAAACTGTAATATGTTACACTTTCGTTTTTGGGTTAAAAAAAAACTGAAAAATAAAAAAATATGTTGGTTCTGTCTTCCATCTGCTCCCTGAAGGTGCCAGTGACACCAGAGTTCCATACCACTGCCTCCTAGGAAAGCTAGGCACTCATAATCCAGTAAGAGATTGCCCTAAGAGTGCATTCATGTCATTGATGTGAAATTACAAGCACCCAGCTTCCTAGGAGACATCGGTGAGGAACAGTGATATCACTGGCTTTCTGGAGAAGCAGACAAAAACCAGAGCCTGCAGTAAGTATTTGTGTGTGTTTTTTTTTCCCATAAAACTTGTTTTGTTCATTTACTGTTTTTGTTTGGATGTTTTTTGACATGCAACACTTGCAATAAGTGTTATATAAATAACAGTAAATCAATAACTTTTCAATCCCTCAGGGAGACTCTGGTGGACCCTTGGTGTGTGATGGAGTGCTGGAGGCTGTAGTGTGTTCTGGATTTAGTGTCTGTGGTAATGCCAGGAGACCAGGCATCTACACCCGTTTATTTCCCTATGTAAGATTTATTGAAGAAACTATGCACAATGCCACCCTATGCATCCCTTCTGCTACAGCAATTGAATCCTAAATGACAACACAATGTTGTTCAGCACAAAATATAAATGTTTATTGTTTTACCTAATAAAAGCATTACATACTGTTTATTCCAAATTTTCTTTAGTTACTTTTTATGAATGTTTAATTCACTTTCATTATGTTACATATGAGCATAATACATATATGAATCTATAATAAACAAAAAAAACACAAAACAGGAATGGTACCAAGTAACTGGCAAAGCAACGAAAATCATATAAGTCAGGGTTTTTATCAAAAAGCTGATATCGTCTGTCACAGTCGCTCGATCGCCACCTTCAACATGCGACAATCACACGACCGCGACCAACAATAATACGTCACGCCTGCTGCGTCAGACCCCAGACCTTCTTACCAAACTCGTGACCAAAGGACCGGACGATCTAAAACCGCGGTGTGACGCGCGTAACAATGCCACACTCAGCTGCGCCCTGCACAACGATTGTCCAGCTAATGGAACGCAATTGACGCACTGGCAGCCTGAATGCGCTTGTTACTGGGTCGGGTTAATTACACAACTAACCCTTCACTGCCACCACCCCCCTTTTTGTACAGAGAAAGAGGAAACTCTCTTTATCCAATATACACTGTAATGGTTGAAAAGTCTCCTGTCCTATACGGTCACCGCAGGCCGATTGGGCAGAGGATTAAACAAACACAGTAGCGTCTCTTCAAAAGGCAGGAATTCGTGAATTGCAAGTAAGCGCTTAGAAACAGTTTAACACTTTCAGAAAGAAAGATTTATTACTAAAAGAGTCAAACAGGTGCAATAAAATATTTACAAAGAAAATGTAACTATATATATATATTTTATATATAAAAACAGCATATCACAGCCAAGAGATAACAGGGAGAAGTTAAAAGGTTAAATTACTTGCCGTGTTAAGCCTTGAGGTAGCAGATCCAAGTTGCAGAGCAAAGGGTCTTTGATCTCCTGCTGTTACGATGTTAAAATTAGGAGATCTCTTCAGCTTAACTCTTTAGGCCTATTACCTGAGTTTTTAAAAGTCCCCCAGCAGGGGGAATGGCTCTGAGTAACTGACCAATACGCTGTTTAGGGAGGGGTCAGTCGGGCGAACTCTGAATTAGAACCAACATCTGTCATAATCCATGACATGAAACGTAGGGGAAAACCAGATCTGTTAAAAATGTTATCTTGTTTGTGCTTCTGGGGAATGCCTTGAACTCTTGAGAAGTTTCTGCCATCCTTCCCCGAGGTGTGAAATCACACAGGTCCCTTGGACAGAGAGGCTGCTGTCTCTATGGGGGGGGGGGCTTTGTAGTGTTGGGCCCCCTGCTGCTCCAGCCTGCCAGCAACTTTTAACACTTACACATCTGTCCCTGTGCCTCTCAGGAAGGGAGGGGGTAAGGAATAAAGGATTGAGGAATACTTCTAATAAAAAAGGGGAACTCCGCGTCCAACTCTGATGAGCAAGTTTGCTACATCGTCCACCATTATAAAATGAAAATTCCTTAAAATGAACGTGTGCCCACACTACTCATACTAAAGTATTAACATATTCTGAACAAGCGGTATAATCACTTTAAAGCTTCATTCAAATAGGCCTCCTGAGAAATTGATCTGGGAAGTAGAATGCTTGTTTTGCATTCATGTGCAAAAGGAACATGTGTTTACATATATTTTCAGCTTCCATACAATATTTTCCTCCAAACTATACATTTACATGTGTTTAGATGCATTTAGATGTGTTGAGAGTATCTAACTTACCCCCAATCGTATAGATTTCTATTTATTTCTAAATGAAATTAAACTAAATGTGCTTAATTGGAAGTAAAAAAGGCACAGTGTGCACTAGATCATTTAAAATGATTACATGTATTTAAAATGTCCTATAAATTTATATATTTGCATATATCTCATTACCTTTGTGAAAGAGACCTAGAACTGACCTCTACCTATAAGCATCGAGGAAAAATTAGTTTTTAAAGTTCACAGAAATAATTGCCATGTTTCTATTACAACAGAATTTTGTTAGCCTGCCACCACTCTACTGTAAACAACCAGCAAAAAGAAAGAAAATTGCTTGATTCCCCATCAACACAGTCAGCTATTGTGTTCTGCTGGAGAGGGGGAAAGCCTTCTTGGCCTGCAGAACACCATGATTACTGCTAGTGGCCACAGCCGCGGGCAGTAATCACGCGCTAAAAATCCAGCTGGCTGGTTGTACCCAAGTTGATCGATGGATTGACTTAAGTACAATCAGCTTGCCCAAAGATGCATGGAATCTCAGCTGGTAATCGGTGAACGGGCTGAGATTTGATCCATCTATGGCTGGCTTTGGGCTGACCATTCACCAAAGTGCAAGGGCTTGCTTGATTTTATATTAATGACATGGATTGTTTAGGTTTTTCCACATAAAAAACATAGTTTTGGTAAATCAAGAGGCCAGATTTTGCAAGGATCGTACAATGTTTAACATTATAGTGTATGGCCAGCCTTAGGCCCAATGCACATGGTGTTTAGCTGCTTGCGGAGGGTATAGGTGCCCCTTCCAGCCCGACTGCTGGTAGCCTGTCAAACTATATGAGGGTCTGAGAACTGTTGAAGCTGGATGGGCTAGGAAAACTCACCTAGCACTGCAAACATTTAGGGCAGTATGCACCCAGGGACAAATGCCTGGAATGCAAGAACATAGTATTTCAATGGCCTCACTTCTGTTTGTTAGTCAAAACTATTCTCTCTATACTAAATTTGGCGAACGACACCCCTGCTTATCATCAAGTGCTATTCATCTGGAGGGTTCAGCCTGGCATTTCCACTTCCTCAAATGCTGCTAGCTCTCTCCTCTCTGTTTGCACAACCCTAGGCAATATGGCAGCACTTATTTTGGTTTTTCCTTGTTATTTGCTAGTGTTCAGCCTGGCACACAAATTTATGACTTTATTCAGCAGTAGTGGCTGTATACCAAATTTTTCTGCTTGTTATATTTAGCAGCACCTCTGGATCATGCTCTGCAAAGTGAAGTAGCGCAGCCTCCTCTAGTGGAAGGCAATATGGCTTAGCACTTATTAATTTGGTTTTTCCTTGTTATTTGCTAGTGTAGCAGCCTATCCACACAAAATTTAGTAAGGTGACTCAAATTATCAGCAGTAAGGTGGCTGTATTTACCAAAAGGTGAGCACTGCTTGTTATTTATTAATTTAGTGGAAGGTGAACACAGCCTGACTTTAGTGGAAGGTGAGCACAGCCTGACTTAGTGGAAGGTGAGCGCACAGCCTGACTTTAGTGGAAGGTGAGCGCAGCCTGACTTTAGTGGAAGGTGAGCGCAGCCTGACTTTAGTGTGGAAGGTGAGCACAGCCTGACTTTAGTGGAAGGTGAGCAGCCTGACTTTAGTGGAAGGTGAGCGCAGCCTGACTTTAGTGGAAGGTGAGCGCAGCCTGACTTTAGTGGAAGGTGAGCACAGCCTGACTTTAGTGGAAGGTGAGCACAGCAGCTGACTTTAGTGGAAGGTGAACACAGCCTGACTTTAGTGGAAGGTGAGCACAGCCTGACTTTAGTGGAAGGTGAGCGCAGCCTGACTTTAGTGGAAGGTGAGCACAGCCCTGACTTTAGTGGAAGGTGACCGCAGCCTGACTTTAGTGGAAGGTGAGCGCAGCCTGACTTTAGTGGAAGGTGACCGCAGCCTGACTTTAGTGGAAGGTGACCGCAGCCTGACTTTAGTGGAAGGTGAACCGCAGCCTGACTTTAGTGGAAGGTGAGCGCAGCCTGACTTTAGTGGAAGGTGACCGCAGCCTGACTTTAGTGAAGGTGACCGCAGCCTGACTTTAGTGGAAGGTGACGCAGCTGACTTTAGTGGAAGGTGAGCGCAGCCTGACTTTAGTGGAAGGTGACCGCAGCCTGACTTTAGTGGAAGGTGAGACGCAGCCTGACTTTAGTGGAAGGTGACCGCAGCCTGACTTTAGTGGAAGGTGACACGCAGCCTGACTTTAGTGGAAAGGTGAACGCAGCCTGACTTTAGTGGAAGGTGAACGCAGCCTGACTTTAGTGGAAGGTGACCGCAGCCTGACTTTAGTGGAAGGTGACCAGCAGCCTGACTTTAGTGGAAGGTGAGCGCAGCCTGACTTTAGTGGAAGGTGAGCGCAGCCTGACTTTAGTGGAAGGTGAACGCAGCCTGACTTTAGTGGAAGGTGAACACAGCCTGACTTTAGTGGAAGGTGAACGCAGCCTGACTTTAGTGGAAGGTGAGCGCAGCCTGACTTTAGTGGAAGGTGAGCACAGCCTGACTTTAGTGGAAGGTGAGCACAGCCTGACTTTAGTGGAAGGTGAGCGCAGCCTGACTTTAGTGGAAGGTGAGCACAGCCTGACTTTAGTGGAAGGTGAGCGCAGCCTGACTTTAGTGGAAGGTGAGCACAGCCTGACTTTAGTGGAAGGTGAGCGCAGCCTGACTTTAGTGGAAGGTGAGCACAGCCTGACTTTAGTGGAAGGTGAGCACAGCCTGACTTTAGTGGAAGGTGAGCACAGCCTGACTTTAGTGGAAGGTGAGCACAGCCTGACTTTAGTGGAAGGTGAGCACAGCCTGACTTTAGTGGAAGGTGAGCACAGCCTGACTTTAGTGGAAGGTGACGCAGCCTGACTTTAGTGGAAGGTGACCACAGCCTGACTTTAGTGGAAGGTGAGCGCAGCCTGACTTTAGTGGAAGGTGAACACAGCCTGACTTTAGTGGAAGGTGAGCACAGCCTGACTTTAGTGGAAGGTGAGCACAGCCTGACTTTAGTGGAAGGTGAGCACAGCCTGACTTTAGTGGAAGGTGACCGCAGCCTGACTTTAGTGGAAGGTGAGCGCAGCCTGACTTTAGTGGAAGGTGAACACAGCCTGACTTTAGTGGAAGGTGAGCACAGCCTGACTTTAGTGGAAGGTGAACACAGCCTGACTTTAGTGGAAGGTGAGCACAGCCTGACTTTAGTGGATGGTGAGCGCAGCCTGACTTTAGTGGAAGGTGAGCACAGCCTGACTTTAGTGGAAGGACTGA